GAATTACTGTTTAAAGCATTTATCTAACTCAAAAATCTCACCAAATCTCTTGGATTCAGAGAAGGCCTAACATGCTAATGACAAGATAATCTGTATTTTTAACCTTAGCTTCTCATTTGAAATTCAACTGGTTTCTCTAACTTCTGATAAGAATAATTTATCAGATGACTTACTGTCAATGCACAGCTCAGTTAGAATAAAACCAACCTTGTATATTTGCCGCAAGAGAAGATCCTCCCCTTTCTTCTATCAGTGGTCCATCAGCCTCCTAGTTATTGACAATTTAAAAATTTAAAAGCGAAAGTCATCTTTGACCTTTGTTTTCACATTGCAAATCCAATTGGTCACTCATCATGTAGCTTCTTCTCTCATTAAGCATCTAACTATAGCTAAATCTATCTTCAATGCTGTAATTGTTACCTGAGTACCTACTATGTGCTAGGAAATAGTGATATGAAGATAATCAGACCTGATTCTTGCTTTGAGACACTTAAAGTCCAACGATCATGAGAGTCCAATAACTAAATCATCCTCTGTGCTAAGTGCTATGGTGTAAACATGGCAAAGGAGCTGAGAGTACACAGATAAGAAACCAATGAATGATTCCTATGTGGTCTGTGAAAGGTAGAGAGAGGAGGCAACATTTAAGCTGGTGTTTACTGAAGGATAAGTAGCTTCCCAGGCAGCGAGGAAAGGACATTCAAGAGCAAAAACAGGGGCCCCTGGGTGGCTCAGTCTGTTAAGTGTCTGCCTTCAGCTCGGGTCATGATCCCAGGGTCCTGGGATTGAGCCCCGAGTCAGGCTCCCTGCTCAGAGAGGAGTCTGCTTCTTCCTCTCCCTCTGACGCTCCCCCTGCCTGTGCTCTCTCTTACTCTCTCGCCCTCTCTCTCTCTCAAATAAATAAATAAAATCTTAAAAAAAAAAAAGAGCAAAAACTATAGGAGCAAGAACACCAGGATGTGAAAGTGAGTTGGACAGAATAGTTCTTTGCCTGATGTGGGTTGGGGAGTGATCGTGGTAAAGCCAGAAAGGTGGGTTATGCCCAAGTTATCGAATGTCTTGTGTGACATGCCAAATAGCTTGGACTTCTTCTGTAGGCATTGAGAGTCACCAAAGGGTTGTTTTCTTCTTAATTATTATATTTATAAAAATATATGTATAGGATTTTAAAATTCAAATATTACGAGGCTTAAAATAAAACCAGTACATTCTCTCTGTTCCACCCTTCCCTCCCCAGGCCCTGTTCCTCTCAGGCATCTACTTTCCATACTTAAAACTGTTACTTTTAGTATTTACCTCCCTATTTCAAAATAATATGGGGCGTTGAAGAAATTTCATTGTGAAATCAACAAATATCTGTGTCACTGAGTCTTTCCTCTCAGCTGATCTCTTCTGCAAAGAGGAATTTTCTGGTCTCCTGCCTGAGGGCACAAGGTCAAGTTGAGGAGGCTTCATTACAATCACCCTATGTTCTCATTACTTGACTTTTCCCTGGACAGTAGTCTTTGATGTCTAACACGTCCAGGCAATTTTCTTTGATCTGAGGTTATGTCAATTACCTCCTATCAAATAAATCATTACATTAATTTTAGCTTTATACTTTGAAGATGCCAAGCTGCCTAAATTTTTTTGTAGCAGTTGAACCTAGTTTCTGTCAGACAGATGAAGAAACTGAACAGACTGAAGTGAGGGTAAAAGTTGGTAAATACTGAAGTCTTCTAAAGCAGAGGTCAGCAATCTATAGTCCATTAACCAAATCCAGTCTCTCACCCATTTTTGTACTGCACACAAACTACAAATGGTTTATATTTTTTAAGTGGCTAAAAAAAAAAAAAAATCCAGAGGTGAATACTATTTTGTGATGCATGAAAATTATACGAAATTCTGATTTTAGAGTTTGTAAATAAAGTTTTATTGGAATCTTATCAGGATCAGTATTTATAATTTGTCTCCAACTCCTTTCGTGCAGGAGTAACCAGGCAATTGTGTAGTTGAGACAAAACCCACGTGGCTTGCAAAGCCTAAGATGTTTACTATCTGACTCTCTGCAGAAAAATTTTACTGACCCTTGTTCTAAAGCAATTAGCTGAGGCAATGCAAAGAGCATCAGGTAAGAGGATTAAGCCCCGGTAGTCTGGCCAAGGGAAACAGAGAGATCCCTATTAGAGAAAGTGGGAGGAAAGAAAGCAAACGTGTTTTCTGCCTGTAGGACTTCCTTCAGTTCTGGGTAATGGAGGCCATAGAGCATTAAGCCTCAGCAAATTTCAATTGTAAATACTTCTCCATGGAGTTTCCCATTTCGGCTTCCTATCTTACACTCCTAAATCATTATTGTCTGTTGAAGATAATGATAGTCTGCCAGGCATTATCTACACTTTTCTTTCTCCAGAAAAAGAAAATAAATTCCTACAAAAATGTATTTCCACATTCAAGGAATTTTAACAGGATAGACTGATGCAGCTTAAGCTATTAGATGAACACAGTCTGGGAATTTGGAATTCCCATAAAACACGTGTTCTTTGGTTGAACCCATCAGTTCAAAAAGAGACCTTTAGATCGCTCTCAATTTCCTTATTTTGGGGACTCCACCTTCTCCAACACACACACTTGTACACACACCTCAAACATCCCATCCTGATATATTCAGAATCAGAGGATAAACCTCTTGCGGTGAAATAAAAGTAGAGAGGAGATGTCAGGTGAGCATGTGCTGAGCCATAGAGTGGAAAGAAAACAAAATCCAAAAATACTTCTAGCCAATGTAGTTTGTATCTCTAAATTTCACCCAGGGCTCTGGGGAAAGGGTGAACTGCAGGTTTCATTTAATTCAGTGAGACACCCATTCGCAGGGTTAACGTTTTCCCGTTTGTATCTTAGTTGATACAATTGATTGCATTACGGCATTAACGGGCTTCTGTCTGGTAGTCTCAATTGTAACCTGTTGCAGGAGTTCAGTGAACAAGTGGTTGAGATGCTGTTAACTGTGGTTTAATGTTAGAAAAGGAAAAAAAAAAAAAAAGGAAGCAGCCCTATAAATAATTGCTTAGAAGCTGTCTGAATAGAAATTCCAGAACCTTAAGAAATCTAAACAGAATCACAGATTACACACTTTTTTAATCCCAGATGAAAGAAGTGAAGATATTCTCGAACCTTACTCAGCGACATCATCTATGTATTGTATGAAGGAACCCTTGGTGTATTTGACTTTAAAACATTTCTCTAATGTGACCAAGTAAGGGTAAATTTGGAAGAAAGGGAAAAGAAGCATGGCACATGGGCTGAAGAATTCGCCAGACAGAACGCAACAGAATGCCAAAGGCTCTGAGACAGACTCTGAGGAATGAGAGGAGGGGAAGAACAAACTGGCAAATTTTCACAAAGAATAATAATGAGTACTTTCAAATCTCATCATCTCTTCCCCTGCAGTGCCAGCAGACTGATGATGCAGAGATGCTAAGTGACTAGGGAGACACTTCTCCTAGCCACAAGCAGTGTGGAGAACAACATATATCTAGGATACTTGCTCCTTTGCTAGTAATTGTGGAACTCAAACGTGAGGCAATATTCCTTCGGTAATATCGGCAACCCCATGCAAACCACAAAATAGAGCAGCGAGCACATTGAGCATCCTCCATCTCCGTAATAATTTTGACTCTGCCTCATTGTTCCAAGTTTGTAAAATACAATAAGGAAGCTGAGGAGCTGGCATGGGCTAGGCACTCAGTACCTATCTTCCGGATGAACCAATAGCTAAATATCTGGAGGTTTGAGCTGCACAAATCCTGACGGTGCAGATAAAACAGAGCATAAAGGAGTTTGTATATATCATGGATAAAGGCAAACATTCCAAGGACTCAGTGAAAAGCAGACTTGGTTACAGAATTCTGTGCGGGAGAGTTCTTGGTGAACACATCTTCTATTCCAGAGAAGATCAAAATGTTAGCCAAATAAGCAGAAGAAAGTTTCCAAGGCAATATTGTAAATCCCTCTCTCTCTGAGAATGAAGTCATCGATCCTCCAGTGACTACATACCATGGTATAAAAATATTTTTTTTGTCATTTTATCATGTAAATGGGATCCAGAATTTGGAAAATATGGTATTCTACATGAACGTTGGGGAACTTGCTCGAGGGCACACAGAAAATTAGGGAAGGGCCAGAATTATATGCCCCAAGGTTTCAATCTGCTCTTTAGTTCTTTAGCTCAGAATGATGCTCTGCATTCGTCATAACCTTGTAGATATACACCAGAAATAAATACCCGTCTCACCTAAAAAGCCACCCTTCTGAAATTCCCTTTTACAAGTTTCAGTAATTGCTTTGTTTCCATTACTCTTTGGAAACAATATTTTTTGTTCAAATGTCACAAAGTCATATGTGTACAGAAGCCCAGGCAGGTAAAATACACAAAGGAAGTGGAATGTATGAGGTGTGGCAAATGGTAAGTGACCCTCAGCCCTGGTTTCTGGGGGATGCAGATGTTGAAGACTGTGGGAAATTCGAGACAAAAACCCAATGTAGAGGCTCCAATTTTCTGAGAAAGAGGAGAAATTCAGATTGGTATATAAGGCATTTAAATTTCATTGTGTTTATTTTGGTAACTAATTAAAATGTGAAACACTGGCCAGGTCAAAACCACAGACAAAACCAAACATGTCTGTGGGCCTGCATCTGGTCAAAACCACAGACAAAACCAAGCATGTCTGTGGGCCTGCGTCTAGCCAGAGGGACAGCTCACTTCCTTGCTATGTTGCCAGATGGAGCTACTGGGGGTATGTCACTCTGTTTGGATTGGTTTCTAATGTATCAGCAATCAGGCGCATTAAAGAAAGTCCAAGAACCTTTTTAACAATGCCAACATAGATGGAACTGTACAGCCTCCCAGGATGGCTTATCAGTAGGACAATTAATTTAAGGTTGAGAGTTATGTTGTGTCCTACTTAAGAACAGAGGCTCTGGAACCAAGTTGCCTGGGTTTGAATTTCAGCTCTTTCACTTACCAGCTCTGTAACCTTGGACAAGGGATGTGATTTCTTCACTGCTCAGTTTCAAGACTGCGAAATGAAGATAATGACAGTTACATGAATATACGCCTATTATATATATACACATACACATATATATACACACATATGTATATATACAAACACTTAAAATAATATCTAAATTAGTGCTATCTAATTATTTGCTTTTATTATTCAGAAATCATAGCACTGGTTAAGACAACAAACTTTCCCCATCTATCTCACATTAGACAGCTACTGATCCCATGAGAGGCGTCGGGAAGCTTTCTTCTTTGTACAGAACAGGTGGGGAAATCAGGCTCCTTGTGGTAAGCTCCCACTCCTTTGGCCTGATTACTGATGCCATCACCTCTCAGAAACGGCATAATTGCATATTTCAATGAGATGAATATACATAGCAAATTTTTGAAATACTGAAAATACTAGCAGTTAATGTATGTCAATCTATCTTTTCATTTTTTTTTTCTTTTTTGGAGATCATCCATTCTAAAGTCAGGGACATTCTGTTCCAGAGTTGGAAGGCAGAAAAATCAAAGGATTTTATTTTCCTCTTTTAGGGGTTAGTGAAGCATGAAACTTATTGGCAGATGCTTGGTCTAGATATAAGTTGCCATGCTATTTCATTCAAGTTTATTTTCACGTTAAATTATTCTGGAGGTTTTTGTATTTTTAAAAAAGGTACCCCATTTTTTTGAATGCCTAGAAATAGAGAAAACAGATGGTCACATGACATCTTATCTATTTTACTGAAATAACCATATGTTTGTGAATAGTCAGCGATGACACAAAATTCATTTTCTATGGCACGAGCATATTTTCTCACCGATGAAAATCGAGATACACTCTGCCCTTTAAAGATTCCATAACTTTTCTTTTTCACTTCCAGTATTCTGACAAATAAATAAAAGGCCCACCATACTTTCATTCCACCAAATTCTTCCTTCCTAAGGCAGGAAGTAAACTCTTAGGAATAATGCAGGTGGAATTTATTAAGACTGAAAGGACCATCAGCTTGTACTCTGATCTCATCAAGGGCTTTGTGCCCCTATGAAACCCAACCCAGGAGCTAAGAAAAGCCAAAGAGCAGAAGCACGGAATCACAAAAGATGTGAAGGCATTGTAGAAAGAATGTTGTCTACACATTACCACCACCATCCATTTAACAACAAAGGGTCAAAGCTCAAAGAGAGAATATACAAAATATGCAACCGGGTACCATAGGGGCCAGAAGCCAAACCTAAAATTGTCAATGAATTAAAATATCTTTGTATTCTGAACTCCGTGTCTATTAGCTTCTAGAAGTATTAAAATTAGAGATGTATCACACAACATTAACTGTTTTTCCTCTCATAACTATTTCAAAATTATCAGTTTTTCTTAAATATGATGAAAGGATTACCTGCCTCAAAATCACCTGAGGTCTATGCAAATGACAGATTCCCAAGCTCACCCCAGACCTACTGGGTGGGAAGGGGATTTAGAATTTGGGTACCAGCAGTTTTAATACACAACTCAGAGGATTGTTATAAACAATAGAGTTGGAAAACCACTAACATCTAGAATCTGGTATGTACATTAATACAAGTGGAATTGTTGGAGTAGGGAAAAACTTTCCTACTTCATTTATTTAAGAAGTGGATATCCTTTAAAATCTCAAACTTGCAAGACTAATTTGCTGTAAAGGATCCTTGGGTTGGGGCGCCTGGGTGGCTCAGTCATTAAGCGTCTGCCTTCAGCTGAGGTCACGATCCCAGGGTTCTGGGATCGAGTCCTGCATCGGGCTCCCTGCTCAGCGGGAAGCCTGCTTCTCCCTCTCCCACTCCCCCTGCTTGTGCTCACTCTCTTGCTGTCTCTCTCTCTCTCTCTGTCAAATAAATAAATAAAATCTTAATTAAAAAAAAGAATCCTTGGGTTATAAATTCCAAATGCACTTTCACATGTGTGCACTCAGTGATTTTTCATAAAGTCACTTTCTCGCCTGGCTTTGTATCCTTGGGACTGACCCTAGAATGAGTCTTATTCAATGTCAGTGAAAGCGCTTGGCTTATATAAGGTGTGACAAGTTGTATTTTGCTGCCGAAGCACAGCTAGCATTTAGCCTTGATGTGTTCCTGAACAAAGACTGTATCTACAGGGCTAGGGCATTTCAAACCCAAAGAATGACATAGAAAATAATGTTTTTGTATCATACCATTTTCCTTTTAATTTATTCTTTAATCTAAAAAGAAAAATAACAATTAAAAATTAAACGTGAATATAGCTTAGAGTTTAAATTGTGTAACAGATTTAGAAACGTGACAACTTTTAAAATGCATTAAACCAGGAAATGGCATTTCAAATATAGAAGATCCACAGATAAGCTTCTAGAATTCTATCTTAAGTTTGGTGCTCTTCCTTGTCCTGTAGCCACTCTTTCCCGCCAGCCTGGTTCAGTCCAAACCTGGCACCCTATGTACTATGTGGGTGAATTGAGGCTTTTTCGAGATTCTATTTTAAGACAAAAAAAAAAATCTGTTTTAATTTAAAACAGTAATGATGGTAAATCCCCAAGGATTCGTGCCCAATGTTTCATTACAAAGGCACTATTTCTCATTTTCTGATAATATTACATTGTTGTTTTATTACTATTACGGTGCAATAACTCTACTTACCACATTTTTAGTATGCATAGTTCATTATTATTATTGCCACATTAAATTGAGTTGTGTTCTCAATGGAAGCTACTTTTAGTCAACCAAATACCCTGTACTCTACTACTCCTGATACTTACATCTTATAGGAAATTATGAATGTCCTCCCAATAGTCAAAATTAATTTAGAAATAGTCTAGAAAAATGAAGAAAGTTAAAATTATTCTTCTGAACTATTGTCACCAGTCCATTTAAGATGATGAATATCTAGGAAGTAGTGTTCACTATCCACTAACTTTTCATTACTTTTTCTATGCACTTCTTGTCCATTGTCATGTAAAACTAGATCGATATGGTCATACATTTCATTCTTCATCATATTAGGACACAGGTTAGGTTTCAATGATAGCTTTAGGCAAATATTTGTGGAAAGACTTTAAATAGACTATGTAGGGCTGGTTAAATGTTTCCTAAATTTGTACTAGATTGGTTCTACAATGATTCATCAAAACACTGGTTAAAAATCTTGTATCTAGGGGCACCTGGGTGACTCAGTCATTAAGCGTCTGCCTTCGGCTCAGGTCATGATCCCAGAGTCCTGGGATCGAGCCCCGCATCAGGCTCCCTGCTCAGCGGGAAGCCTGCTTCTCCCTCTCCCACTCCCCCTGCTTGTGTTCCCTCTCTCGCTGTGTCTCTCTCTGTCAAATAAATAAATAAAATCTTTAAAAAAAAAAATCTTGTATCTAAAATTTTGTAGAGAAAAAACAGGCAGAGAAATGCCATCTGATTGGCTGATATTTGACAGAAATTAATGACCAACAATAACCGACCCCCATGAGACAAATGCAAGGAAGCAGATCCTTTCATACCTCAACTGTCCTAGGAATGCAGAGATGACCTGCTGTGAAATGCTACACCTGGGACCACAGTTTTACACCTGGTCAGCTTCACACTTCTTATCAGTAATCTCTTTCTCCAAAGTCCATGCTGAGCTAAAGATCAGAGCTAACATTTACTTCTACATTTCACGTTCTTTGGGTCCTTATTTGGTGCCAGGAGCTGTGCTAACTTCTTTACAATTCTGTTTGCTTGTATAATTATTAAATCCCATTTTACAGTTGAGAAACTTAGGGCCTGTGCTTTTAATAACTTTAGCATATATTTGTAAGTATCTTTTTTTTTTATTTTGGTAAATATTTTGATTTACTATTCTTTTACATTTAGTTGCAATTCTTTTTCTTTTGTTAAAATATTTCCTAGGTGCATATGCATAGAAATATGCTACCATATTGTAGACAAATAATTTCATATGTCTCTCTTAGGTTCCAAACGTAGATATTTGTATCTTTCTGGGAATGGGAAGCATCCTTTCTTATGTAAACAAAACTAGTGGCTACTAGTGGTTACTTTGGACTGAGAAATATTTCCAGTCAATCCTAGCCAATATTCTACTGTAGAATATTAATAAGGCCTTGTTGTATATAAACCCTTAACATTTTCGAAGTGAACATTTGATTATTACAACTCCAAAGTAAGCAGGAAAGAGATTATGATCCTTGCCTTAGAGACGAGATAATTGAAGGGAGGAGAACTCCAGTCAACTGATTTACCCAAGATTATGTAGTTAAATAATGGCAGAGTTTCATCTTAGAACTTTGGCCTTCTGATGACTCACTCAGTGTTTTTCTACTAGAATGTCCCTCAAATAACACTTAACTTTCTGGTCATTCAAGTCTTTATAGCTCACGACTTTTATGAATATATTCATTTTTTCCAGAAATAAACAACTCTATGTGGGATACAAAACTGAACTGAAAGGAAAAAGATATGGAGATTCAAAACAAAGATGTAATAAGTTCCAAACCATGTCATAAACAATCACAAAAAT